AAAAGCAAATTCTTGAAGTCCTATGCTAGTTTGTCTTTACCATGGCATAGTAATTGAAGTGGCTGGCCTTTTTGCTTTCGGTTCATGATCTTAGCTATGCGAACTGTTTATTTTGTAATTTCTAGGCATACTCAAATTCTTTCTTGTTTGCCTTGATCATCTTTGTGCTGTTATGAAGTAAGGTATAATCATCCTTAACGAGATACTTTATGATCACAAGAGGTGTCTAGTGAGTAGGAGAATGGAATAATAGAACTGATGATTTTGCCATCTAAGGATATCTGCATAACCATATTAGGAATTTTTGTACTTGAATTTCGTAATCTGCTGTTAATAAAAGAAAAAAATCTAAGTATTTGTTCTTTTCTCAGTGTGGGAAAGCTTTTCTTTTTATTTTACGCACTTCAGTGAATGTTATCTTTTTTTTTTAAGTAAAAAGTATATTATAATTCATTCACAGGCACTAAAGGAATGCAAATTTTATCTTTTTTTTAAAAATAAAAAGTATATTATAATTCATTCACAGGCACCAAAGGAATGCAAACTCACATACAAACATTTACATATAGACCAAAATATATATACTTTTTTTTTTAAGTAAAAAGTATATTATAATTCATTCACAGGCACTAAAGGAATGCAAATTTTATCTTTTTTTTAAAAATAAAAAGTATATTATAATTCATTCACAGGCACCAAAGGAATGCAAACTCACATACAAACATTTACATATAGACCAAAATGTCAATAAGGTCCCGTAGATTCTCAAAAAAGTAAAGAGGATGATTTTTAACAAAAAAGACCTAGGGTCTACGAACTAGCTATCCTTAACTGTATCAAAACCCACTTCCTTGCCCTCAAAAGCTCTTTTGCTCCTTTCCTTTCGCACCAAGGATAAGGCGTATGTGTTTCTTCCCAACCACTGATTCCTTTCCACCCCTAAATTTCCTCATTTACTGAGTTGCCCATCACCAATTAATGCCCAAGATGCCATAACCAAGGTCTAAAATATGTAGGCGAAGGGGCACCAAAAGATATAGTTGCACGATTCCGCATCCTTTTTGCACAAGTAACAACCATTCACTAGAATCTTTTACTTCCTAATCAACTTGTCCAGAGTAAAGATGCAACTTCTAACTGCCTCTCATGCAAAAAAGGCAATTCTGGGTGATGTATTAACCTTCCAATTTTGTATAGACGGAAAGTCTCTACTTGTGACCTCCCTTTTTTCACATGGTTGTGGAAGGATCTAACAGTGAAAATGCCCATAACATTGACGCTTCAAAGGGGTCGATCTTTGGTCTCATTGAGTTTAACCCTGGTAAGGGCAAGAAGTAGTGCCTTTTACTCCCTAACTTCTCCATAATTAAAGTTCCCTTATGACCTCCACAAACCACTCCCCAATTCCCATGTTGCGATTGCATGAATCTTGGATCACGGCATCATTCTATCAAGCGATAGTATAA